AAATGGGGCATCTTTACCAGTTATCTGGCCAGTCATATGGCCATCTTTACCAGCATGTGTTATATTTTCTCTTTCAGATGAACGTGCTAGCAAGGACTGGTTTATAGCGAATACCCAAGAAGGTTATGGGATTAGAGTCTTCTATGGTTACTATAGCACTTGATTCTTCGAATACTTTTGGTAAAATACTGTGGAAGTCAGAGTTCAGGCTAGATGTTGTAAGTCATCCTCTTCCAATTTTGCAGCTCTCAATATTTCAGTCAACCAGGAGCAGAAGCTGCTGATCGCATATTCAGTCTGGGGTATTATTTTGAAAAGTGAGAGACGACATCATCATCATCATCATCACCATCACCATCACCCCAGGGAAAAATATATAGGAGTGAAATATAGGGTTTAATTAAAGGATTTTTGATTTTTGTTTTTCAGTAAAAAATAGGTGATGCCAGAAATGTGTCTGATTTTTTAAACAGACTTTATTTTTAAGAGCTGTTTTAGGTTCACAGCCAGATTACACAGAGTTCCCATACTCACCCTGCTCTCCCCACCCTGGCCCCCAGGCTCCCCCACTTTCAACATCCTGCATCAGAGGGAAACGTTTGTTATGATCGATGAACCTCTACCTCGATACGTCATCATCACCCGAAGTCCACAGTTTACAAGAGGGTTCACACTTGGTGTTGTACTCCACGTGATTGTTTATTCCCCCATCTGGACAACAGAATTCACGCTGGCAGCGGGGAAAAGGCCCTCAGCCAGCCATCTCATGCTCCCTTGTCTATTTATTGATGAGCCTTTACCACTTTGCCAACAGAATACCAGTTTGAACATAAGAGGCACTTAACATGGCTCCATGATTTTACTCAGACACAAAATTCTACTATTTCTTTCATAAACCCACATACAGAGGCAGAACAGCCAATTCTGACCACCGCAGGTAGTATCATAGCGGCTTCCCTCTTCTTGCTCTAGCCCTTAGATCCCACTTAGTTTGCTCTACTTTTTACCCCCACAGGGTTTATCACTAACATCTCATACAGTTTACTTATCTATTAGTTTATTGCGTATAAGAAAGTGGGGATCTTTTTGTTGTTGTTCACTACATTGTAGCCCCAGTACTTAAAACAGCGTCTGGCATGCAGGAAGACACTTAAATATTTGTTGAATGAATGAATGAATGGATGAATAAAAGTCTGGGCTTCAGGGGGTGATTCTGGCCATGGTTTGTACTAAACATGCATGGCAAACAATGGAGGAAAAGGTGCCCAGGCTCCGCAAGCTGCTGGTGTTTCATCTGTTCCAGCCATCTGGGCTCCTGGGGGTCCCCACTGGCTGAACATGGCCATTCTATCATGGGAACAGGCTGGAGGGCACAGTGAGGCCTACAGGCGTGTAATGTACCCAACTCCCCTGTAGTTATACGAGCCCTCACTCAGCCTGGACACGGGGCTGGAAGAGCACAGTTGATCCTGGCTGATGCAGCAAGGAAGGAGGCAGAGGAAAGCCATGATGCAAAGTCAGAGACCAGGAGGCATTTCCCCACAGTCAGTGGACAGGTGAAGACCCTTAGGAATCCAACTGCCACAGGTTTTCCTACTTTTCTCCCACTCACACACATTCTGCTGATGATGAAAAAAATTAATCCCTGAGTCAGCTTATGAATGCAATGATGAATATTTTCCATGTGAATTAAAACCCCATGATATAAAAAATGGGAAAAAGTAAAAGAGAAAAGGAATTGTGGATTTCTCTGAAACAAATGGACATGGTAAAATGGGATATAAAACAGTGAGTGAGTGAAGGAAATAAAACGTTTCTTTTGTTTTTATATACAAGATACAAGCTGTGGCTGTAAGATGAAAAGAAGGTGGCAGGAGATGAACGACAAGAGAGAGGAAAGGGGAGTATAGAGGAAGAAGCTGACCCAAAGGGTCCTGCTCCCCTGCAACTTTCTGACATCCAAGTCTAGGATTTGGGAAGAATCACCTGCACATTACATTAAACACGGCACGTCCCACTCTGCATGTACGTATATCCATAAAGTGTACCTGTGTCATGTCATTTAAGTATAAACACTTAATGTATCCTATATGTACTATTTGCTTATTTATTCCCAATTCCCGTACTGGCATGCAGGCTCCACGCAGACAAGAACTATGTGTGTTCTGCCCTCGGAACGGTGCCTGGCACGGACAGGCACTTGGTAAGCATTTGGTAGGTGAATGAATGAATGACAAATAGCTGCTCAGCCACCACCTACTTCCCACTCCACTTGAACTTCGAATAATACTGTTCTTTTTCTCATGTGGGAGAACCAAGGTGTTTCTCCTTCCTCTCCCAGGAATGTGTTCCCAGATCACCACATACAGGTTGAGTATCCCTTATCCAAAATGCTTGGGACTAGGCGTGCTTCAGATTTGGAGTTTTTTTATTTTATTATTTTTTTTAGATTTTGAAATATTTGTGTAATACTCACCTGTTGAGCATTCCTAATCCAAAAATCCAAAATCTGAAATGCTCCAATAAGCATTTCCTTTGAGCATGACATCGGCACTCAAAAAGTTTCAGATTTGCGGGCATTTTGGATTTTCAGATGAGGGATACTCAACCTGTACAGGTAAGGGAAAGGAAGGAGCCGGTGGTGCCATTTTTATTTCTACAGAGCCTGCTGTGCTGCTTAAGATAATTCATGTTTACAGAGTTTGCCTCTCCACTGTGCTTCATAACTACAAGCAGATGCTGACAACTCTCCAAGCCACGGGAAATCAGGGAAGGGCCCTCCTTCCTTTAGCTATGTGAGGTTCATTAGCCCTGGTTACAGCAGGGTAGGTCTAGGGTCAGCATGTGTCAGCTGCTTTAACAGAGGTTCACAAGGAAGCTGGTGAATGGGCATAAGATAAGAGTGCCAGCCACTTCTCACTGCGAATTCAAATACTGTGCACATCGGCTCCATTGCTGAATCCCAGCCACATGTAAGCTTCATTCTAAATCCTGATCACGTGAGCTGGCTCTGTCCTACACCACAGCCAACGGTAGAATCAGGATGTAGTGCTACTGCCATAAGTTTCAGACTAAGTCCAACAAAAGAAAATTTGAACTAATTTAATATATATATTGGATTAAGCCCATAAAAAATAAAATCCTTGCAGAACTTATTCTAGAAAGAGAACAACATACCTAATAATTAGGGAGATTTCTACTTATATGCCCATATATCAACATTATGTTCTAAATTGCCTGTTTTCTTACTTGTAAAATTGTCCAGTTTCTGGAGTAAGAAAGCATGGACCAAGTGTCAAAGAGAGTATACTCAATGAGTACGGTAATTTACAAAGCACTACAAGTTTTCTAAGAACACATTTTTAAATTCAAGTTTTTGCCAAGTAAATGACCAACAAATTAGAGCTGCAACTAAATTACAGTGATTATGTAACTCTCAAATTGCAGAAATCAGTGTTAAAAAAGGTACAGGATTAAATAAAAAGTACCAAGTACAAAAGACAAAATAAATGTGAATATATTTATATATTTGGTATATTCTTCCGGAATAATAGCTTTGACCAGTAAGCACATGAGTTGACTTATGTTTTTATCAGCAGTTATACCTTGGACCATTTTTCAGTGAAGGCAGCCTTTACCATCCATGATTGAGAGCTAACCAAGGAAACACAGCTGCATCTTTCTGGAATTCAGGGATTCTGCAGATCTGTTTCATCAGTGACTTAGATGGACTAGCACCCTATTCGTCAGCTGGGAAATACTATAATCTCTTCCGAAGAGTGTACGCATTCACACAGTGTCCTTTCTGAAAGCTTTAGGCTCAGAGCTCTAAATATAAAATTAACAGAAATCTCGAACCACTGAAGTGTGGATTCCTTGTAAATCTCTCATCACCCACATTATTATGATGCTTTTCTCCATTTCCCAACTTCTGATCCCTTCCAAACCCCTCAATCTGTTTGCTCAAACCCTACCCTGCACTATGTCTTTTCCACTTGAAGCCGAATCTGGCATCCATGTTTTGTCTGCTCAGCAGGAGAGCAAGTTCAACAATCTCTGGCTTTTTATAAAATCAGTTTAATCCTCCCAACATAATAATTAGTTTCAGATGAACCTGGTTGCTGGGCCTCGGCTTGGTTCCATTGTGGTACTAGCAAGGACAGCAGACACCTCCTGTTGCACTATTTTTTAGAGCAACAAATCTGGGTTCTATCTTAGACCCAGAACAGAAATTTTGTGATTTATTTCTTCAAAATATAGCTGAGTTTCAATAACCTAGATTCCCAAAGAGATGAACTGAAATGATAATTAAGGAGAATCTTCTCAGTTTACGTTTAAAATGGTTCAGATAAATTATTCCTCAATTTATCAAACTATAATAGTCACCAAGAACACAAATCTTATCAAAATAACCAGTGCTGTATCCCGGCAAACATACAGAGGTTGCAAACAGGAAGCCAACAGTGGTATCTTAATGCCTAATAACTTAATTAGCTCTTAGGGGATAATAAATACTGATAGGTAAATATACTGGCTTAGAAACAAGGATATTAAGGGAATTAATTCTAGAAAATCTCTATTCACAATAATACAGAGCAATCAAGCAAGACATTATTTTTTAGAAACAGGATGATCAAGATGATCTCCAGGAAGCACAATCAAAACAGGCAGAGTCTTGGGTTATAACAGGGAAGTTGCCACAGTTTTCCTTCAGGTTTAAAGTCATCAGTCCCTGCACATTTTGACTCATTAATTCAGTACCAGCAGTGGAAGCGTCTGTGAGAATTTTCACCATCAAACCTTAGGTTATCCTATTTGTAAATCCCAGCAACCCCTGAGCTCTGCTTTCAGGGATGAGTCACCTTGAAGCATACATGCTCTGAAGCCTTGAATTATGAGTACCTCTTAGTGTCTTAAAGTCTTTGCCTGTTTAAATAGAGAGCAATCTCCTCTCTGCTTTATCACACAATGACTACATGATTCCTTACGGTTTATCTTACCTTCACACGTACGGCCATCTGCAGAGAGTGAGAAACCCTGTTCGCAGACACAGTGAAAAGAACCGTCTGTGTTTAGACATTCCCCATGAGGACCACAGAGCCCTGGCTGTTCACATTCATTAATATCTGGAATTTAAAAGAGAGTTTCAAATACTGGGAAAAAATATGTTTTGTTTTCATATGCTATCAGACATACAGTGAAGAAAATCTATTACAAAATGGCTGGATATTTATGTTGTGGCAATACTGTACCATTTGTCCAGATAACAGACCACAAGACAAGTTGAACCTGTCATGAGAGGAAAACTATTCAGGTTGACTCATGAAATAGCCAATGTTCAACCATTTCTGACCTACAAAAACAGCAATTTCATAGGTTCAACTCCAAGCTACCCCTATTTTAGACATATTGGAGGGTTGAGGAACACTCTAATTGAATGAACGACTCTAAGAAATATTCTTCATTGGTGAGAAAGCTGTGTCTTCCTTTGTCCTCTCCCACACCATGCACACGACCCTGTTACAGCCGGTAGTACCTTGTTACGTCCCTGCCTGTCCGTCCCTACGATGTGGGTTGCTTAAGGGCAAAGCTGGACGTGTCTTACTTATTTATATTTTTCTCAGAAATGCCACTTCACAAATGTATAAATATATACATGAAATATGCTCCAGTTTATATCTCATTGAAAATGAGAAAGAGAAATAAAAGTAAAAGAAGGTCTTTTAGACCAAGGAAGTTCATGTTTGCATGGCTTTGTGATGATGAAATTAGTGAAGGAGGATAAAGTGCTTACTGCAATGCCTAACATACAACTAAGGGTCAAAAAGTGGTAGCTACTATTATGAAGACTCATGAACAGATCGTGCAGTAGTTAAACTTGTGTTGACCATCTTATGCTCAGCTTGTCCTCGATGTGGGTAATTCTGCTCCCTGTGGCCAGGGTCATGAGGCACTCCTAAACACTGACAACATACAGAATATTTAGTGTAGGTGAAACAGTCTTTCACACCAGTTCTAATTATGCTGGCTAACAGTGCCCAAGATGACAACATAAGAAACCTGGAGAATGGTTCACCTATTCACAATGGTGCTGATACACCCAGCTGACTAATTGTTGGTCCACTCATCTGTCCCTCATTACACTGATTGCTCCTTGAGAAGAACTGCATATTTTAACTCTGAGTTCCTAACTCCTAGTTGACAGTGTCTTAGGAATGTTTGTCCATCACAAAATTTCTCAGTTATGTTCATTCTCTACTAACTTATCAGTGGTAGGTTAAGGTTCTGTTGGTTAATTAGGGTCATAAAAATGATCACGTCTTTAGTACCATCCAGGCAGTAGCCCCACCCAGGTCATTTTCCTATCTTCCTGAAGTCTCCGAGGCCTCCTTTAGCTCTTACTGAAGAGTTCCTCAATACAGGAACCCACACAAACACTGCAAACTTAACAGGAACAGGGGACAGGTACAGATTACGAGCTCTTCCTCGTGACCTCTAGAACATGCTGAGCCACCAGCTGTGTGGTCCTCAATAAAGTCACCACTTCCCTGCAACCACGATCTCCTGGGGCTCTTCTTTTTGACTTGATTTTATTACGCAATGGAAATTTTGGCAATTATTGATTTATCCACCTCTCTTTAGTAATCCTGAACTCTTTACCCTTCCATCTGCCACATAATTCAGACTATTTGGCCTATGCATTGCTGAACCAAAATAAGAAACCAAGTAGGAATTACTCATATTTTCTTAATAATCCTCCCATTCTTGTTAGTGTCCCTAATTTTCAGCTATTTCAAGGAAGATCAATGAATCATTTTCTACTTGTCTATTTCCCAATATGATTTCACTCTGTGAAATTCTTTACTTCTTTTATAAAATTACTGATATCCGGGCAAGAAGGTGCCATAAAGTTCCACTGGCCTGGGGCGCAAGCCCAAAATCCACATGCATCTTGTGAAGCCTTAGCAGCTATCCAAGACCTCCTTTTTATTTTATCTTATGCCTCAATGTGGTCCCTTAAAAGCTACCTGCTTTGCAACTTTGCATAGGGAATAAGGTGCATAAACTCCTTGCGTCAAAGCAAGTCACCGATTAACAAATAATTGTCTAAAAAGTTTGATGACAGGAACTGAAGATGAATTCCCAGACTTTTTTCCAGGAAACTGCTAAGAAAGAACAACATGAATATCTGGAACTAGAGAAACATATGTATTCAATTTGGACTGTACTTATTGAGGCATTTCTAAACTATGTTGCTAGTAACTCAGAGCTGAAAGCCAGACTATATTTAAATTGGGCTTCTTTCATGGGTCCGAGATTCCACAGAAATTCACAATTTGGCATGTGTAAGTCAAAACGTGAAACTGAACTGTGTTTTGAATCTCAAATGTATCCTGCCACGTTCCTAAACAGACGATTAACATGGAAAGTCCATACTGTCTGTATATCCTCATTAGTTTTGCAGGGGGAAGAGAATCTTACACTTCCAATCAAAAATGCCTTACTGTATCTGAAGCTATCTTCAGAATATTAAGTAAGGTTTAAAGGTTATGCCTATCACACATTGTTACTCAAACATGTCCATGGTTATTAGCGTTGCCATCAGTTACATTTTCAGAATTGAACTGTGAAATCAACACCTATCTACAGAATGCTGACATGATCATGGGATTGGAGAAAAGTAGGCTAGTCACTGCTGGCAGGGTGAAAGATCACAAAGCTGCCTTCAGTGACAGAGTGAGAAGAGAGAATTCAAAGCAAGGTGAGTATATATGTGATCACAAACAGCCTCTGATAGGAGAAGGAAAGTGATGAAACAAATTCATAGACACTATTCCTTAAACAGTTCTAAGACTTGCTTCACAAATGCTTTTCATTTATTTGGAGTTACATTTTTCAAATAGGCATATTCATTTATTCTGGAAAACAGGAATAAGTGTGACAGAGAATGAAGTCAATTTCATAGTGATTGATAGTCAATAAACCCCCATATGCTTGGGGCATTCACATACTTGAGAGCTGATATCAAACCACAGACACAAATTTTATGTATTGAGAGAATATAGTAGTGCAATTAATGAATCAGATGACTAAATTAGTTCCATGTGATTTAATTCTAGAAGTTATAAAATGTGCAACATGAAACCTTGGTCCATTCATACTAAAACTTGGGTTTTGCCTTTATTCCGCCAAAAGAAATCATGACAAAAGAGGAATTAGAAAAGAAAATATTGCTTTTAAGCCAAAAAGCATGTAATAAAAACAGGATTCACGTTTAGTTTTTTTTCTTCTTCTTCTTTTTTCATCTCTTGGTATTTTTATATGAATCAAGATTCATTTTGTTAAAATGTAAACTTCCCAAGTGGAAATATTCTCACATAAATTTATAATTCAAATGTTCCTTCTCTACTGCATTAAATCCAAGCACATTTATTTATAATTCGAATGTTCCTCTTCTACTACATTAAATCCAAGCACATTTAATTCCTGCATTAGAAAAACTGAAAAATTTAAATTCACTTTATTGCTTTATGAGGGCAAATAAACACATGATATCAAATGAGGTACATAGCAGTATATTTAAATCTTGGGATCAGTAATGGAATTAATTTTTAGAAGCCTTGAGGCAAAGGTCCCTGGTCTTTCATATCTCTATGACACACAGTGGGGTGTGGACGCTGATACAGATATATGGTATAATACTATGCCAGTGCCATATCTTAGAGAGCAGACACTGTCTTCTCCTTCAAGAATATTATTTGGAACATGTAAGAGGAGATATAATTTATGACAATTCTGAATAAAAAAGTCATATATGTTCAGTAACAGTGGGTAAAGAATAACTCCAACAATCTTTTATTTATTTGTATCTTGGGATATTCCACACAGCTCCATAATGACAGAGGAACAATAAGAAAAAAATAACACTTATCCAAGTATCAGAATAAATAGATGTAAAGGTAAATATATGTGTGAGTTTTCAATGGAAAATATAGGCATAGATTTATCAGGACTAATACATTCAGGAAACTTGTGGGGCAGGCAGGTGTAGTTAAAAATGTTGGGACACAGAATCTAGACAACCTAATTTTTTAGCCACAGTGTCAAAACGACTCGATGCGTTATCCTGTGAGAAAAATCACTTAATTTTACTGTCATCTTTCTTTTGACTATAAATATAACAATAATTGGTGTGGCTATGTAGGGAAGAATAGTTGGAAAAGATCCTGAGTTCAAATCTCAACTCCACCACGCGTGAGAGAGGAGCATGTTAATTAACTTTTTGGAGCCTCAGTTAGTCATGCACAAAGTGAATGTACGAAAAATTAGCTCTTAAGTTGCTGTAAGAACTGAGAGATACCTACAGTACTCAGCACACTGAGGAAGCTCAATTAAAGCTGTTGTTGAGATTGTTCTTACTAGTACCTGTGTTGTGTGACTGTGTTCTTCCTAGTATCTGTGTCCACCATACTGTTTGGGAGACTAAACGTGAGAGCACTTTGAAAAAATATAAAACCTTATCCTTCATAATTTTGACCAAATTATTAGTGAAGTTTTTTTAGGAAGGAAAAAAAGCAATGGTGGGTACCGGATAAAAACAGGGATCGGGACAAGGACAGGTACATATCGACTATGGGACAAAATAAAATATGCCTGTGGGACATAAGAAGGCTGGAAAGGTAATTTAGAATCCAGTACCAAGGCTGGTGTATGGAAGGAGAGCAAAGTGCAGGTGATCTCAGCACAGAACCATGCACAGCAAGGACACAGTTCTGACATGTGTGAGTTTCCGATGACACGATGCCGGACAAAGCCTTCCCACACTTGATGCAGACCCAAGGAAGATATTTTAATAATGCAAATTGACATAGGTTATTTATATATAAATCAAGTGGCAAAACCACATACTATCATCAGGAAGCATTACAGAATTAAAGAATTATATAAATAATGACTAAAAAAAAGAAAAAAAAGAGAAGTACCTTGACATCCTTTATTGTCATTTAGCTGGAATCCATCTGGACAGGTACAATCATACGAGCCTTCAGTATTAATGCAGTCTCCTCTCTGGCAAACACTATTGTCCTCCAAGCATTCGTTGATGTCTACAAACCAATTTAAAAATTTTGAAAGGCTAAATAAACTATATATTAGAAAACTAGATGCTTTTTCTTATCACATAAAGGTGCATTATTTTTATATCATTTATAATGCATAATCTTAAATGCATGGCGGTATTTTTTAACTTTGAGAATTTTTAAAAAATGAAACATTTTGAAAGGATTTCAGCTTTGAACAATAAAGGGAAGTTTTAAACATCAAATGAAATTAAATGGAAGAGGAGAAGTCAAAATTCTATAACAAACAATCTACTTGGCTATGTTCTTGGTGATGACAGAGAATAAAAATATTTCAAAAATACATATTGTCAAGTATATCTAGAACATACCTAACATGCTTGATCTATTTATACATGCATTATATCATATATGTAATTTATATTATATATATTACATCACATATTTTATATATAAATATTTCCTATTATGCATTATAGGAAAGATTTAAAAGTTTTTGGCATGGCCTTTGCCCCCAAAGGACAATGTTTATTCAAAAAAACAAACTATATTGTATTAATAAAAATAAACACATAAGATATTAAATTGTTTTATAAATCCAAAACAATTTAACTTAAGAACTGTCACAAAATATAATTATTTGATAAAAGAATAGTATCAACTGTAGCGGTCATATGAATTTAGAGAAAAGATATCATAAAGGTCAAAAGAGGCTTCATGTAACAGAGGAAACGTATTCTACTTGGAGTCTGGACAGCAGGGTAGAGAACAGAGGAGGGAGAGGAAGAGGCACTTCTGGATGAAGGCAAAACAGCAAAATCAAACGCCTAGCTGACGTCACTTACTCAGCAACTATCACAAACAGGTTTTGCCTGGATTTTTAAAAATGCATATCTTTATAGCATATGTGCAGCTAAAAGTGGTATCCATAACCGATAACGAGTTTTGACTGTGAGAATGTGAGACAATCAATGACGCCCTCACTGTGCGAATGTTGGGCAGATCTTTCTCGAGGGCTGTTTATTACCACATTTACTCCTCGTCAGGGCTCATTATTCCTCACACACTCCATGAGTCCCTCTTCTGTTGTGTCTGCGCAGGATTTAAACTATTAACATTGAAGAAAGCTAAGCAACAAAAACCTTGTTTGCTCAGAATTTGGCATTTAATGGCATTTCTTGCAAATAATTATAATTGCTGCTGAAATACATGTGAGATGCCAGGAAGAAGTGAACCTGGGGACTGCTGCGGTCTCTCTTACACTCCCCACTGTCTGGTGCCAATATGGTGACACCGAATTAAAGTTTCCTCATAGAACCCAATCAGCCAGTTAACTGGATTCTGTACCGTTCACACAGCAAACAAAAGAGAAACAAGAGAGCGCCTTATCGCTTCATTCTATCAAAACAAAAACAAGTGATGATGATGAGTGTTCACTCAGAATTAAAATGTTCTCCGAATACTGACCCTAAAACATAAAACATAGCTGACGTGACCTTGTCTCCACTGAAGCAGATTATCGCTTTTTCTCTAATGTGTTTTTCCAACTTCACTGAAGTATGATTTATATACAATAAATTCATCTATTTTAAGAGTCCAGCTCAGTGAATTTTGACAAACGTGTACACATCCTTGTGACCACCACCACAGTCATGGTATAGGCATTTCCATCACCCCCAGCTTCCCTTTTATTCCGTTTGTATTTGGCTTCTGCCATAACATTTTTGAGATTCATCCAAGTTGTGCGCATCAATAGTTCTCTCCTCCTTATTGCTGAGTAGTATTCCATTGTACGAATACACCACAATTTGCTCACCCATTCACCGTTCAATAAGCATTTGGGGTTATTTCCATTTTGGCCATCATGAATGAAGTTTCTATAAACATTCATGTGTGAGGCTTTGTGTGAACATATGCTTTCATTTCCCTTGAGTAAACACGTAGGCAAAGAATGCCGGGGTCATACAGTAAGTCTCTGTTTAAGTTTTGAAAAAACTATTTTCTAAAGAGGCTGGACCATTTACACCTCCAATGGCAGTGTGAGGGATCCAAATGTTCCATATTTATTCTAATAGTTCCACAACTATTCTAATGGATGTACAGTAGAGGATCAGTTTTCAGATTCACCTTTCTTTCTTTGCTCTGTAGGAAATGGAGATAAAGTGAGAAGAATCATATTTGATCATTGGCTTTTTGTAAAAAATGTCAATTTGAAAAAGATCCAGGAGAATCCTGAGAATAAGAATTTTAGCAACAAGAAAAATGTTCCATAACCTAGATGTTTGCCTCAGCATAATGGAAGCGTGTTAGCTCTATTCATACTACTTTAGAGTAATGTAAGGCCAGGTGCAGTGGCTCACGCCTGTAATACTAACACTCTGGGAGGCTGAGGCAGGAGGATCACTTGAACTCAGGAGTTTGAGACCAGCCTGAACAAGAGCAAGACCGTCTCTACTAAAAAAAAAAAAAAAAAAAAAAAAAAATTAGCTGGGCGCAGTGGCGCATGCCTGTTGTCCCTGCTACTCGGGAGGCTGAGGTACAAGGATAGCTTGAGCCCAGGAGTTTGAAGTTGCAGTGAGCTATGATGCCACTGCACTCTACCTGGGGTGACCAAGCAAGATTCTGTTTCAAAAAAAAGTAATGTGATTTTTATTCATTTTCCAAAATCTAAGAGAAATGCTGAACGTAAGGGAAAAACACATTAAGTGTTTATAAATAATTATATACATTTAAAAACTCTGTGCTTTATATTACAGTAAGGTTTAGTTTAAAAATTTTTTGCAAGATCTTTATCATAACGTTCAGAGCAAAAAAGAGTAGGTTAAACATTAAGGGAGCCCAACAAGAGACTATTTTGCACCACCACAGGGGGTGGTATGAAAAGACAGATTCCTCCTAGGATTTAAGACAGGTTTTTAAGGAAAACAAGGGCGAATCCTGGTCACTCCTCTACCAAGATGGAGCTTGTCAAGGTCATCAAAGACCTCTACCTTACTAAAAATCCCAAGTTAATTTTTGGTCCTCCTCTTACCTAGCAGCACTGTTTGACACAGTGCTTCCTCCTCCGTGAAACACTTTCTTCTCTGGGATTCTGGTTTTCCTCCTTCCTCGTCTGCCACTTTTTTCTCAATCCCCTTTGCTGGTTCCAACTTATTTCCTTACTTCCAAATCTTGGAGTGCCCGGGCCCCATTTTTCTAACTACATTCACTCCTTTGGTGACCCAATTTCACGGCTTTAAATACTACCTATGTGCTGATGACTCCCAGTCCGGAAATCTCCCCTGAATTCCAAATGCAAGGGTACAAACTGCCTTTCAGATATCTTCCTTTGAATGTTCATTGCAGGCATCAAAAGCTGAAAGTGCACATGTAGAGCGCCTCATATGGACAAAGCCTGCCCCTGGGCCTTTGCATCTGCCATTCCTTTGAATGGAATGCTCTTCCCATAAATAATCAAATGTCATTGTCTCAGGGCAGCCTCTACTTGTGTCCTTATTTAAAATCACCACCCTCCTTCAGTACTTCTCATCTACCCCACTTTATTTTTCTCTGTAACATTTATTGCCATTTTACAAACTATATATTTTACTTATTCAGCATGTTTATTGTTATCTCTCTCACTAGAATGTAAGCTCCATGAGGGCAGGAATTTCTGTTTGGTTTATTGCTGTATGCACCGTGCCTAGAACAGCGCCTGGCACAAATCTGGCACTAAATAAATATTTGAACAAATATATAAATGAATAAATGAATGACTCCAATTTGGAAAGAAATATCAGAAGGACAGAAATGCTATCATGTCTCCCCACCTTTTCTGATTTTGTCCACAAAGAAATGACCAAGAACGAAGGGCTACAGGAAGACAGAGTAAGTAATGAGTTGTCTTCTTGGGCTTTGTAAGGGACTTTCAGGGAGCAACCTCAGTGAAGGGCTGAGGAAAGGTTAAGGTAGGCACGGGATTAAAGATTGTGCTTGGGAGGGAACAAGCCAGAGGCAGAGACTCTGAAGGCTGAGATGCCCGAGACCTCTAAGAACCGGGACAAGTGAGGCCGCCCCATCATCACAGACTGAGGGTTACTGAGCATGCAGGATAAGCGGCCCGCAGAGAAGAGCACACCACGTGGGATTGTGACTCTATGCGGAGGCCAGGATTACAGGATAATGCCATAAGAAAACAAGGTCTTTGCCAGAGTTATTAGAGGAAAATTACACATGTAAACATAAAAGCCAACAAGAAAGATGGCTCTTCCTCCCACAGCTGTGAGAGGCATGTAAACAGTCACAGCTCAGTTAATTGTGGCTAAATACCACTGGAGAGGGTCAAAAACAGAACTAGCTGGGAATTAGCAGGCCGAAGTGCTAACATAGTTTCAAAGGGAACTCTGAATCAGTTGGATGGACTCCAGTCCTATTTATAACCCAGAACACGAGGGAAATTAGTCCCGACTTTCAGAGGAGGCCTGATTACATATTCCAAACGAAGCTTTCTTATGGAACATAATTGTATCTTAGAAACATATATGTCAGTAATGAGGAACAAGTTGGCTAAAAAGTTTTTGTTTGATTTTTCATGTAATGGATATTGTTATTTATTTATTTATTTTTTTGAGACAGAGTCTCACTCTGTTGCCTGGGCTAGAGCGCCGTGGCGTCAGCCTAGCTTACAGCAACCTCAAACTCGTGGGCTCAAGCGATCCTCCTGCCTCAGCCTCCTGAGTAGCTGGGACTTCAGGCATGCGCCACCATGCCCAGCTAATTTTTTCTATATATATATTTTTAGTTGTCCAGATAATTTCTTTCTATTTTTTTTTAGTAGAGACGGGGTCTCGCTCTTGCTCGGGCTGGTCTCGAACTCCTGACCTCGAGCGATCCACCCGCCTCGGCCTCCCAGAGTGCTAGGATTACAGGCGTGAGCCACCACGCCCAGCCTGTAATGGATATTTTTAGAATAAAAACCTTAGACTTCTCTTAAGACAGTTACACAGGAAAACAGCCAAACCAGAGGAACACGCCCTCTGATGAATATTAACTCCCCGAGACTTCATCAACAGCCTGGTTACCTTCTTGGCTTGGCCAGGAATCAGGGCAGAAGAGACACTGGTGGTCAGTTTAGGTTTTCAGCTCCTTATCATATATACCTTACCACCTACTTAGTTCTAGAATGGAGTCTTCCATGACTGGTTCTCCCCAACACGACTGCCCCTTCTGCCTCGGAACGCCACTATGTCGTGTCATTAACATTTACTCATACTTTAGAGTTCCCCAAACATGCTTTTTCAGACATAATCATATCTTATTATATTTATTTATCACTTATCTGACCATTTCCCTATTTTTCAACAGGTATATTGATTACAACTTTTCATTGGTGTTATTAACCCGTTGAGGAACATTATCACCTTCGGATAAAATCCCAGAAGTTGATTTACGGATTCATGAACTGTATATATTTTAAGACCTTTGAAACTCTGTCACAATTGCCCTCCCGAAGAGCTGGGTCATTTCACATTCCCAGCAGCAGCAGGCATGGCTACTCAGCCACTTTGAACTGCTGTGCCGAGTTGTCTGGTCAGAAATGCAGGATGCTATAAACTACGATGGATCTTTCCAACCAGTTGGACTGGGAATGAAACAGGATTTGAGACCTTTGAAATATGTGCCACAAAACCATTCCCTAAAAAGCTCACCGCTTCTCCCAAAGGTGGGTTCAGACGCTCCCTCAAAAATTTTGACTGTGCATGTGAGGCACAACCCTGCCAATGCTCACAATTCCAGTTTCACAACTGATAGGCTCTAAATGGAGCAAAAGAGGTGAACTAAAAAGAAAATTGTTGCTTGGGTGGACACTGGATACAGAAAGTTCACAAGTGACAGGCTGGTGGCAAAGGGAAGAAAGCAGCACGCTGGGAGAAAACATTCCCCTCTCTGTACACAGGACTGCAGGCAGGTCCTCAGCCGTGGCAGGTAGTGGAAGGGGTTAACAACCCCACAGCGCTCTACATGCGGAGTATCTTTTAGAAACATTTTATGCAAAAAGCTCAAAATTGAATTAAAGTTTGGCTCTTAAAAACCTTCCAGTTATCTGCAAAGTTAAGCTGTATTTACTTATTTGGAACATTTGCAAGTTGGTCCTGCATAAATAAGGTGTTAGTTATAGTTCAGAACTACGCATCCAGGATAAACCATCCATAGCTAGTAAAGTTAAACTGATTCTTTACACCTTTGGCTGGCACAATTCTAAAAGACAGCTCCGATCAGTACAAAGAAAGCCTGGATTCTACTCCCTTCTTGGCATTATTTGTGCGACCATGGACAAAATACTTGGCAGGGATGTAACATTCTCACTGTAAAGTCATCAGGTTGGGCTCAGGGACAGAGGCTGAGATGATGTTCAGATTTCCCTCTGATCCTGGCATTTTATGATTGCAAAACCAGACACAATTCTTACCTTCACAGTAGTCTCCAAGCGCGGATGCTCTGTAACCCTGGTCACACACACACTGGAAAGAGCCCTCTGTGTTCCTGCACTGCCCGTGAGTGCAGAGATGACGGTGCTGGCATTCATCGATATCTACGAGCAAGGAAGCACAAAGAAACTGTAGAAGCAGTGCTTCAAAACTATTTTCAATCATTCATATAAAGGAGGTCTATAACTTATCTGGCTTATAATTAATTCAGCATTTTCATCATGTGACTTAAATAGACCTCTATTAAAAGGTCTGTTTTCCCAGTAGGAAAAATCCAGGTAAACTTAAAAATTTAACCAATGGGCTAGAACATACTAATCCCACTGTTCACTGATGAGTGGAAAATACTTTTCTGTAATCTGTAAACCCAACCTAAGCATCTTGGATTTCTTTTATAACTTCAACACTGAATTTAAAAGCACTTAAGCCAAGGGTCAGCAAACTATAGATCACAGGCCGAATCCACCCTACTGCTAATTATTGTGAATAATGTTTTATTGGAAAACATATTCATTTACTATCTGGCCCTTTACAGAAAAAGTTTGCTATGCCTCTCCTTCTGCCTCCCTACAGATTGTTCTGTACAATCCTGAGTTCAGGCTCACGCACAGACATGTATTATATCCACACATAAGCGGCACATCATATATTGCATGCATTTAATTATTTTACCCTCATGATTGGATTTTAAGTTTCCTGAAGGCAGGGAGTATGTCAACCAAACCCTTTATTACTCCTTAGATGACCTAGCAGGCATTCAATTCATGTTGTTTTTTGATGGACTTTCTTTATAATGGTTGAGAGCATTCGCCTATTGTCAATGTGATTCTATAAGATTTAACACACATATCAGTTCCCACAGGGACCCTGTACGATTACTCTCCCCCACTCTGATCGTCGCGTCAATTTGGCTGTCATAGTATTCAACACCTGGCATGGTGATCATCAGGTAGGTGGTTCCAGCTGTATCTGATTATCTTTGACAGTAGTACCACAAGCTTTTCAAAGTAAAGGACTTTGAATACAGTAGCCTTCTTGTATCATGTGTAGACCTCTTATTATCCATTCATTTGTATTTTTTATGCAAGTATTCATTAAATGCTTGGTGACTGAGGTTAGGAGTCATAAAGTATAAAAACTTTGAGAGGGACTCATAAAATCTAGAAAAAGTTGTGTAATTTATCTGTATATGAGCATGTGCTTGTGTGTATTTATCATTCTCCACTTCTAGATTAAGTACTGTAATATTCTAGAAAGGGATACCTGGGGAGCGTTATGATAATGTTTACAGATGCCTTTGTAATTACCATCATATCTTGTCGCTTTTATAACACTATCTTAGATTTTTTGCCCATTAAGTATTCAAAATGTACATACAGACATGGATATTATTTGTTTCCTTATGATAAAATAATTGGTCTTATATAGTGTGGATTATGTTCTTAAATAAGAAATGATGTTTCCTTTCAAGAACTCTGGACACTTGTGCTTGTCACAGGTGATATCATATATCCTCAAGGTCAGGAAGCACATCCTTACTGGGAAGTGAAGTATTTCTGTGTGATGTCGGTGAAATATTTTCTTTAAAAAGTCTAAGGTCCACCCCACCAAGTCCACAATCCTATTACCAGTAAGAACAGGACATATTTTGCAAACTTTATTTCTTAATATAAGGAGGACACTGTTTCAGTTTTACTGAAAAGTCCTTTTTAGTGATTTTATAAAAAGGCAAAAGTTTTAAAAAGCTAAATAGACAGAAAAACTAAGTTTATTAACATTCCATAACATAATATCAACCCAATATAATGACCTTCTAATTCCTGAAATCCCAGTATGTAAAATCTTTAAATGAATTTAAATGTTTAAATGGAAATTACTTTCTGTAGTAAAGAATTATACAGAGAGCAATAATTTTTCTTCCTAATATTAATGCCTAGCAACTGATCACTACTGCCATATTTTTCAAATTTAACTCTCCTTCCTTCTTGTTTTATTGACTTTCCTAACATATGTTTAAATCCCTGGCTTTCTGGCACTATAAAGCAATCACCTAGGTAATTTCTAAAAGGCACACTCACTTGATTGAGCGTATATTTTTCCAGACCAGGTGCTTTAGGCTGAAATCTCAGTAGTCACGTTGCCATACTCTTACCTTCGCACTGGTCTTTAGCTGCCGACAGCTGGTACCCCTGCCCACAGGTGCACCTGAAGGAGCCCTCAGTATTTTTGCACTGCCCATTTATGCACAGGTTCCCTTGCTGACATTCATCAATATCTGCAAACACAACAATGACAATTGCTTTGAAAAAGAGATTACCCAGGACAATGCAGTGCTCCCTGCAATGTATTCAGAGGTTGTTACAAAAATAATAGTATTTCTTATATGAGGCACTATGAACTTCAGGATGTATCAATCCACCAACCTTCCTTGTATCAACTTCAGGATGCTTATATGCAGAACAGAAATAATTACAAATACACAATAAATTTATAAGTAAAAGCTACTTATAATATAACGTCAAGCTCTTCATTATTTCTCTCTCTCATATTTTGGATACAGCAGAAAAACAATGTGAAATATTTCAGAGTAGAAAACAGAAGGCAAAACCTGAAGCACAAAATAACAGCTACCAGTTTGTAGATGTGTAGAGTTGCATGAAAGAAGGCAGAAGTAAAACTCTACCATGAATTTGAAAAACAAAATCAAAACACAGGCAGTTCTGGAAGGACACAGACATTTCTACTTTATTTAGAAGAAGTTGAACTATTGGGTCAAGCAGTTGCCTTAAAGAACACTGAGCTCATTTGCAAAGAAATTAGGAAAGCCAAGAAAAATGGTAGCATTATGATGACTGCTGGAATACCAAAGGCGAAAGCGATAAGTGAGGATTTTAAAAAATGCCTTGACTGAAGATAAAGCTACTGACTGAGAAAGAATAATAATTCTTAATAAGGGTTCAAGAAAATGTCATGTAAACAAAGTTCCACAACTAAAATGAAAGAATAGCTTCATCGATAACTTGAGCACTTCTGGTAGAAGTAGTGTTAGTTTTCCAAATGTTTTCGTTTGGCCATTATGTTGGTTTGACCTAATTAGATAATTCTGTCTTGCCTTGTCTGTACAGATCAGCCTTAGCATGTTTTGCCAAATAGCTAGTAAGTTTATAAGAGTTTATGATCATTAAAACATGATAGGATTGATCTTCACCGTCTACATCACAGGTTTGTTGTACGGGAACAGATGCAAAACACACTAACCCTATACTCAAAGGGGAAGAAAGGAGCCCTAATCTAAATGAAGCAATAAATAAAATGAGCGGGATTTGTTTCAAAGAAACCATGTCCCAAAGATAAATGCATGATTGTTGTTTTCCTCTAAAAATATCTTATTATTTAAAATGCATCTAAAAGCCTTTCCCAGGAAAATGCAATTAACTGTACAGCCTTTTCCCTTAAGTATTATTGACAACCACCTATTACCTGAGCAAAGCTGCATTTCTTAACTTCTTATGAGGCACTAGCCTTTTGACATTTATCCTGATACAAGCAAGGTGTCAGGTTATCCTATTTCCTGAAATTGCTCACCCAAATTATATGTAAGTGGAGTTCAAGAATTTGTTTATTTATTTAATTTTTCAAAGTAATTACTTTACTTGACTACAAACTTTTATTTGTTTCACCAATTGTGTTATTAGTCTCTTTTCTTTGTAAATAATTCCTGGCTTCCAACTATTGACTGTCCACAGAGAAATTTCATTTGAAAAGTTATTTTAACACCTTTCCAACACTCTACGTCTATTAGCTTTAGGAGTGACTGGCAGCAAAGATCAGCCGACATCATATTCTTCTTTCATCACATTCTATAAAATACTTGAGATGTCAGTTCACGAACTTAAGACCAACAATAGCTCTCGTAGCTGGCTGGATCTCACATAATGTCTGACAACATTTTTAGTGCTTTGGACTCTTTTTGACTTTCTCCTAGAAGACGACAAATTAAGCATTCCCATGTGAAGATGTCTGCAGTAAGGAAATACCCTCCATTCCAAGTACTGTCAGGGTATGCCAGACATCTTACATAAGTTACTCATTTATGTTGCTAAGACTGTCAGAAGTAATTCATTACAAGTCATGACACATACACTTGGAATAACTTGAGACAACAGTTATCTTGAACAAGGTGATCTTTGGGTCTTTTAAGTAACCAAAGGGAACAAAGGCAACTTAATTCTAGAGATAAAAATATTTTTCTTTTCTGATGAGGGACAAAATTCCTGAGACTAAAGTAAGCTTTCTAATAAAATAGGCATGCAGGACAAATGTCTTCTTTCTTTTGTGCCAAGAGATAAATAGAAAACATCATTCCTCATGAAAGGTATTTATTTAAGGGAATTTTGCAGATATTATGTGACAAGTCTAGAATTAAAATAGAGACTATGTCTAGGTATTTATAAATTTAGGACACACAATGCTAAAACACACAGATACAATAAGGTCAAGAGAAACAAGTAACAAATTAATACATTAGATCACGTACTTACAACCTGAAGAAAGTTGTCAGTATGTTTAGTGAGATAAAGATGAAGTCAATATCTAGGACTATCAACAAGGTAAGATTGTCAGAATTTCTGGGATATTAGAAAAGGGGCAGATTCATGATCTGGGGTAAGTTTGACAGCCATGACCTGATGTGGTTTGGGAAAAGATTATGAGATAGTTAAAGATGTCATCATTGTGAAAAAGAAAGGCTTTGGCAGGGAGTAAGGAGAACGATTAGTGCATATGTAGGTTTCTAAAGCACAAGATGGTAATGGGGAGACGCCATTAGAATCAGAGTAGAGGGCAAAGTTAAATGCCAAGTGGAGGCAAGAGCCCATTCCCACCTCTAAGCTTTGGCATGTGCTGTTTCTCTGGCTGCCAAGTTTTTCTCTCCTTGGTACGCAATATTTTAAGACCCAAGTTCAAACAGCAACACTCTGTGAAGCTTTCCCAGAAGCACACAAGCAGAATTAGTCACACACTTTGTGCTTTAACAACTTCGTTTATGCCTCTCATTTAGCAAACACCACCATCACCAGCACGTCACACTCTGCCCCTGCATTAACTCATTCTCCCTGCATCATCTGTCCCTGCATTATCTCATGCAATCCTCACAGCAACTCAAGTAGGTGCCATTGTTGTTCCCTTTTTTGCAGATGAGAAAAGTGAGGGTTAGCGAAGAAAGAAACTATAATTTATCCAATCTCACACAGCCTCTAAGTGTCAGAGGTAGGATCTCATATACTGTCTTTTTTAAAAAACAACTGAACTCTAGACTTTGTTGGATTTCAAGAGTTTTTCTAATCATGTCATCTTTGTGAAACAGGATCCAATCCAGGGTACCACATAGCATTTAGTTGTCTTGTCTCCCCAGTCTTTCCCTGTTTTTCATGACCTCATCTGTCTTAAGGAGTACAGGCCAGAATCCTGTAGAATGTCCCCAGTATGTATTTGCCTGATGCTTCTGTCATAATTAGACTAGGATTATGGGTTTTTGGAAAGAAGGGCACAGAAATGAAGTGCTCTGGTTATCACACAATGTCAGGTGTACATGATATTCACATGACATCAATGATGATGTCAGCCTTCATCATGGTTAAGACAGCGACACTGCCTTTTTTTTTTTTCTGAGACAGAGTCTCGCTCTGTCACTCAGGCTACACTACAGTGGTGTCATCATAGCTCACTGTAACCTGAAACTCCTGGGCTCAAGTCATCCTCCTGTCTCAGCCTCTGGCACAGCTGGGACTACAGGCGCATGCCACCATGCCCGGCTAACTTCCTACTTTTTGTAAAGACGGTTTCTTGCTCTTGTTCAGGCTGGTCTCTAACTACTGACCTCAAGTGATCCTCCTGCCTCGGCCTCCCAGAGTGCTAAGATTCCAGGCGTAAGCCACTATGCCCAGCTTTTTACTGCCTTTTAATGTATTTTGTTATCCATAATTATCTGTTGCAGGTTTGCATCTCTTCTAATGAGTCAAAGTTCTTTGAGAGATTCTAGCCTCTCAGTAACATCCGCCTTTAAGCACAGCACCTGCAACATGTTGTTTCCCTTATACATGTGAGAGGAAAGGAAGGAAGGAAGGAAGAGCAGCTTCTGCAACAGCCTAGCAGAGTGCCACAAGTGATTGGAAATGAGTGTTCCTAGGGTGGCACCAACTGATGGTGATGGTGTGAATTCTGGGGATCTAGGGAGACCTCTCAGAGAGGAGCAGGCTGAGCTGGGATGACAATGACCAAGAGCAAGAGAGTGGTAATAAGGCTTCCCTCAACATGTGTCTACTCTGAGCAGTATCCCTTTAGAGAGTTCAATTCCCTAATTTCAGGGATGCCACGAGGTCTGGAAATCTGAGATTGTCCACCTAAGGTTGTACAGTGAGCCACATCAGTGAGCAGCGAGGAAGAAGATGGGATAAGCCTGAGAAAGTGCTTGGGGCCAAATAAGCACGGAATACTCACAGGGCAGTTGTGACATCAACTTGGATGAGTCAGAGAATGCAAGTTTAAGAATATAATCGTGATCAATCAGTTTGGAATATGAAGGATGAGGACACAGTACAAGAGTTTTCAGCAATAAGCAGATGAAAAGAGCCAGGCAGATTGGAAAGAAAGAAGACCAAATGACAGGATACGGAAATAAACTAAACATAGCAATCAAGTAAAGATTAACAATGACTTCCAAGGCTTGAGATCCTCATCCAGCATGAACCCAGTGTATGGAGGAAGAAATGATACCTTTCAGACGATTCTCATGTCTAATTTGGTCTGAGGAGGTACTCAGCTTAAAAAGTCAGTAGGAAAGCTGCGGATGTGGTCAAAAGTGAAAGAATTAGGAGAAAATGGAGATATTTGTGCCTACTTTGGATGCTCCACTGGAGTAGCTGGTATTGTGTTGTATCAAAGGAGCAAGGCACCAAATTCAGATGCCTGCAAATTCCCTGCCACCAATGGCAGAGGCTTCATCGTCTACAGGACATGAGAGTATCCATCTACTGCTCACCTACCATGGTGAGAAATTAATTGTCACCCTAGTGTCTTCACTAATATTGAGACACTTAGGAGAGAAGAAAAATCTCACTTATTCCCTGTCTTCCCCTTTGACAGAACATACTTTTAGGTATAAAAGTAGTGGAAGTGAGCAGAAAAGAAACAACCCATAAATTTGAAAAAAATTAAAATTTTAAAAACAAAGAATCTTAAAAAGAAAAATTAGGGAAATCTTAGACAAATTACAACACTATACCTACAAAAAAGTATATGTAATATATATATATACACATGTACAGAGGTTTGTACGTGCATTATATATAAACAGTTTATATACATTGATTTAAAAAATGAAAAACCTGATAAATGACAAAAGACATAAACAGAAATTTACAAAAGAAGAAATATGTGTTTAATAAATGTATAAAAAAGTTTAATAATTAGAAGTGTTAAGGGAATTACTAAAGGGAATGAGCATATAAAATAAATATTAAAAATTTTTATGTATTTGAAAATTAAAAATTAATGGTCTCCTGTCAAAAGATCACTTTACATTATATGTATCAAAACATCACTATGTACCTCATAAATATATATTATCATACATAAATTTTAAAAAACCAAAAAACAAACTAGTAAAAAATATTCAGGACATTTTACCCATTAATTCCCCTTTTATACATAAAGAAATAATTCTAGAATTAAGACAAAGGCTTATAAAAAAAGAGGCCTGTTACCGTTTTTTTCACATAATAATGACAAGTTAGAAAAAAATTGTTTGTTCATCACCTAAAGAACAGCAAGAATATTCTAGTATGGAATACACTAGAATATTATGAAGTCTTTAAAAACATTTTTAAAGAGTTACTAATGGAATGCAAAATGATTATATACTATTAAATGACAAAAAGTAGGATACAAAATTGTACGTAGAAATAATATTTATAATATACAATATCCATGAGATATGAATACCCATGAATGAGATAATAAGACATTGTTACTTCTTTTTTATCTTTTATATTTGCTAAATTTTCTACAATGAGCATATGTTGGTTTCTTTAACAGCAATTTTACTGAGATATAATTCGCATGCTATGCAATTCTTCCATTCAAAGTACAATTCAATGGTTTTTAATATATTCACAGAATTGTGCAACTGCGTGTATTGCTTTTATAACCAGAAAAAAGATTTTAAATAAATAGATCTGTGGTTTACAGAAACTCTCTAAAAATACATTGTTTTCCTTTATGTAAATAGATACGCTCTGTGTTTAACCACCATGAGGAGCCACTCCCAAGGATGCCAACCAAAATGTGTTCCCAGCAGCTCACTCAAAATCAACGCAGGTAGTGTGGTTCCCTTTTCCGAGGCCAGATACTCTAATCTATTCTTAAATGAAGTTCAAATAAAAATGGGAAATTTGATCACAGTATTTACCTTTACAGTGCTTGTGGTCTGGAGTCGGGTTATAGCCCTTGTGGCATGAACACATGTAGGAGCCTTCAAGGTTGGAACAAGTACCATTTGTGCAGACGTTTGGTTCCAGGCACTCGTCCACATCTTGAAGAATGTTGCGTAATGGAAAGACCAAAAAAAAGGAGAAAAAGAAAACACGAATAAAGTTAAATTTGGTTAGAAATGGAAACAGTAGACTTTCAGAAGACACGGCAGATTCTTGAAGATAAACTTTCAAATTAGCCCTTAGGAGGAAAAGCAGCTCTAATGCGAGCTGCATGGCTCATGGTTCTATGCCTTAACTTACTTTCTCAAAGTAACTCAGAAAGGAACCAAATATGCTCTGTGAATAAACTCAAGAAAGCTGGAAGGCTCATTGCAGGGGAGAGGGAGGAAGAAAGGGTAGTTTTAGAACAACATCCCCTACAAAATAAAATTTTCCAAAGAATCAAAGATGGGTTGAGGTCTATTTAGGAAACTGATGAGTTGAGGAGGATGGGAGGGTTCACAGAAGCAAAAGATATGACTCATGACCCAGAGAAACTACAACAAAGTTTTAAGAGAAAGGTGAAAAAGATTCTATTAAAACACCCTAAGATGGCAGTGAATCCATATGATAAAAAGCAACTGAGGGGATAAACATAAGGCTACCGGGCAGTTTGAAGGTAGAGTACAGGCTGGAGGAGCAGATGGGATGATGATGATGATA